AAAATATTTACCGCAGCAATGAAACCCTTGGTTAGCTAATATTATTCGAGGAATATTGTTATAGAGTTTCAACATGATCCAGACGTACGTTGAACCTATGATACTTAATTGCTTTATAAATAGTAATTGTATAAAAGATATTTGAATTTTTTGCTCGAGGCATACCCAGTACTCTCATGAACTCTATATTTCGGCAAATCAATGATTCACTGTTTGGAGTGGCCATCTTTTTTTACAATTATATTACTTCAATTCCAATCATTATTAATTTCCTTCTAGCTGAATCGAACTAACTGTAAAGGGCTTGGACTACAAAGTAGGTTGTAAATATGCTCCAAACGAACATAATCAAAATTCGGCCAGTAAATGATTTCTTACGTTAGAATCACTACTGTAGTACTACCTCCGTACGGAAATGATTTTGATTGATTTGCCTTTTTGTAGCTTTCAACAAGTGTACATCGGCCAAAATAGGTTATTGCCTAGACCGCAGGTATACTTCCAAATAGAGATTTTCATTAGGAACCTGATTTCACTCATTATTGAGCCCAAATCACTCATTATTGAGCCCAAACTAGAATACCCTTGAATTTATGCGACATGAACTGTCAGGAGTGATTTTCACTGTGTTTCGTCTTAATTTTTATCAAGCTATATCTTATTTGTAGAAGAATTATCCATGTACAATGGTTTAGATCAATATAGGTCGTACAGTAAAAATTTCATTACCTTTATAGACGGATAAAAATTGCACGCAAGTGGTAAATCTAACAAACATTAAGGTACGGGGTAGTACTACGTAGTAGTAGTACATTACAGTATAGTAATGCCGTTAACGTTAGAAGTAAACGATGAACACACGAGGAGACTGCGTCCAAAGCGTATGCGGTATTCGCTGTCTTAGACTGCGTTAAGTTATAGATTTTGGTGTTCGCAGTCTCTCTGCGTTGGGGTAGAGATTTTGGGCGATGTTCGCAGTCTCCTCTGCGTTGGGGTAGAGAGTTCGGGCGATCACGGCGATGATTTCGATGTTTTTGTTCGCAGTCTCCTCTGCGTTGGGCTGCAGAAGATGCAGGCGGAGCGCGACGAAATCAATCACGCTGCCGTGTTGGAGGCGCCGGCGTGCATGCCGGTCGACCTGGCTAAGATGCGTCCCAAACTGTTCCTGGACGACATCCTGATGCCCCGCTTGGCACGGGTGCGTCTGTTCTTCAG